TGAAAAAAGTCAAGACAGTATTTCCCAGCAATATTTCTGACAGCTACTACACTGATTTAAAGTGATAGTATATGCAAACAGAGAACAGATACCCTGTAAAATCTTCCTTTTTAAAGTGAAGCTAAAATTATATGCAGGTGGTCTAGTCCTTGATACCACTTCCAAGCACAGGGTTACATTAATTTGAAAACTGCTAAAAACATTTATGTTTAGTTTGTTTTCATGTGTGAAAAGTTGGCCCCTCTCTCTCAATTCATTAGGAAAAGTCACCTCAAAAAAAACAAAAAAAAAACAATCTGAATATGATCACAATGTAATCCTCAAAATAACTTAAATTCCTCTGGTATTAATTGAGTAGGATTTTAAGAAGATTAAAAATATTTTCCATCAGGGATAAAGTGCATTTGATTTATTACAAAATCTCACATACCTTAATGTCAGGTTAGAAGGACGTGGAAAAAAAAAGCCTAATGACTAATCTAAGTAAGCTTATTTTCCTGAAATTTGCCACTGTAGGAGTATAACATGCATAAATTGGGAGAATTGTTAACCACTGTTTATCTGTGTCTTTTCTGAGTGGGGTTCAATCAGCTGTTGGTTAAAATCTATACACTGCCCTAACTCCCACTGTATCTTACATCAGGGTTAGCACAACTGAAGCATACTGCAAACACAAGGCCAGGAGTGTTTTACTCCCAAATACACAGATTTACAGTCTAATCAATAATAAAATGTGTTGGGCAAACTTAGAGTCACATGTTTACTTTGTGGTTTGGAAGAATCCTCTAATTCTAACCAGTTACCTTCTTTTTATCTCATCTTAGATGTACAGTCTGACTTGGTAGCAAGGTTTGGGAGATTGAGGTGTATGAACTCCTCAGGCTATGCAGATGTCAAAAGGCAGCAGAGCTTTTCTCATATATACTCTGCAAGTTTGATGTTCAAAGATGCCAAGAAATGGTTTTATGAGCAGATATTATACACAATGAAGCTCAGGGAGCCATATTTGAATACAGCACTTTTCAAAGTTTTGTGATTTGAGGGAGGATAGGAAAAAACTACGGAAGAATGAAAGAATGACGTCTCTTGTTTTGTAAATCCCGAGGTCCACAGTGTGGGCCAAAACTTACTCTGGATTATTTACTATGAACCACTACAAATAAAACAAATGGAATTTAAATTACCTATTTGTCCAAACACTTAAACTCCCTTGATCTGAATTGAAAGCAAAAGGTAAAAAACATTTCAGAGCTCACAGATGCCCTGAGCCTGTATTCTATGAAATGTAGGGAAAAAAGAGTGAATTGCAAATTGAGCAAAATAAAATAGAAACAAAGCATAAAAATCCTGTACTCACTCACACAGATAAGTGATCTCATAAAGCTAGATTCTAACTGAAACAATATGGAAAAAACTCTTCAAATTCAGTGTTAAGTAGGAAAATATTAGCAATTTATTTTAAAAATCAATGCTTTGAGTTCTTGTTCTTCCTATGTATCTAGTAATTGTTTTTAAATTAGGGGGACAGAGACAAGAGGAGATGAGCAGGAGTGTTGTTAGGGCAACCAGAAACAAAGTAGAAGCTAGAGAAAAAGGTTAGAGAATGGTGGAAACTGGGAGGGAGTGAGAAGTCACAGCTCAGAGAGATGTGCCCAATCCAAGAAAGGGAAATGTGGGAAAAGGTCCTGCAATATGGAAATATCACATAAGAGAAATACACCCATTTGAATAAATGGAAAACTTACCAGAAATTAGTAACTTCCTTCTGCATTTTTCACATAGCACTGACCATAACTTTTACACACAGGAACTTCTCAGGTGACCACCATCAGTGCTTCTAAGCACTGTTAACTGCCTCGAGAGGCCTCCTCCAAGTCCTTGAACACCTAAGAGCTTTTGGGTTTTTCAGTTTGGGCTCAGGGTGTAGAGAATCCAGTCACAAGAAAATTTTTCATAAGAAAAATTAGCGTGTACATCTTCATAAGATACATATTTTTATTTTTTCTTTTAATACAGTTGTGTATGCAATAGAGACAGAAGCCAATCTTCTAGTAACATCCTAAGAGACATTTTTATGAACTTCAGAGCAGGAAGTAAGTAAGGTACACCTTCTGACAAGGATATATTAATGCTTATATTTCCATGAAAGGATCTTAAAAGGCTGGTGGGAAAACTAGTGTTGTTATCCACAGATAAAAATAATAGAAGCAAAAAAGGTAGCAGGTCTTTTCAAGGTCAGTGAATCAGTGAAATAGCAATTCGTTGTAAGACCCATGTATTACTCATAAAATATACTTATCTTTTTCTGCCTGGAGAATTCTTTTTCTCCTCCCAATTAATTTTTTCTCCCTATTTTTCTCTCTTGCTTTTTCTTCAGTTTATTTTTCCTCACTTAACCTCTTTCTCTGATGCTAAAAAAAGGACAAAAGGTGAAAACCTACTGGAACCAGCATAGTCAAACTCTTGTCTTTTACTGCCTTTTTACTGTCCAGCACTGCCTTTTAATTTGTGGGAGAGAACAGCAGGGGGGATCATTTCATTCTATATACATTGCTGACATGTGGAATCAGAAATACAGTCGCACTCCTGACTTCCTTTGAGAGTGGCTCCCTCAACCAGGAAACAATTCCCTTAATGAAGCAGCCATGCAGCACCAGGGCAGCTCAGCAGCCTTTGTTCTGATACTCAAATCTTGTATGCGTGGCAGTATTTTGTAGCAGCTCTACTCCTAATCTTGCTGCATTTTATAGGTGTGTTGAATTTTCAGGTCTGAAAGCAGTAAAAAATAGCTCAATCTTTCTCATTTATTTGCAAAAGTCCCATTTTTGTCACAACTGTCTTATTTTGAATGTAAATGTCCCAGATTTGGGTTTCTTAACTAAAGGAGGAGGTATAATGTAGAAGATACAACAATTAAAACTATGAAAAATACACTGTCATGTCTCTGCATGTTTGTTTATTCTTTTAGCTTTTCTCACTTTAAATTCCCCAAATCAAGATATAAAGCACATGAAAGGTTTGGACTATTCTGCCTTTCACATCATTAAAATGTAGTGCTGTTCTCAAGATAAGCTTTGTTGCTGTCTGATAAATATTCATAAAATATATTGAATATATTCTGAATGCAATTCAATAGAGTTCTGTAATCTTACAAAAATAAGTACTTCTAAAAAATCCTATCCGCTCTCCTAAAATTGCCTTTACTTTTATACAATTTTCTCAGCTAAAAAAAAACCAAAAACCAATAGTAAGAGTTAGGCATTACATTGTTATATCTTGCAGGCACAGAATTATTAGAAACTTTTCTAGGATTGTGGGTTTTTATTCTGTGTGATAAGAGTAATGTTGCAGAAGCTGATAGGTGTTGAAGCAACACCAAAAAATTAAGGAGCAGTGTAGAGTCCCGTAAGGATTGCAAGTCTGTGCTGTGCTTCAGGGACACGTACATGATGTGAAGGGCTGTTTGGTTTAGGTGGGATGGGTATAATTTGCATAAAGCAAAATACAAATATTTGAATTCAACTAAAATATACAAGGTACTCTTCCTTGAAGTCTTTATTTTAAAGTACGAAAAAAACAAACCATGAGAGCAACTAATGATAGTAGCGAGCCTGACATTGAGTCTCGGAGTTGACCTGCAGTGACTTGGCCTTTCTGTTTTTGATCACTTTGAAAAACAGTTTTCCCTCTGACGTGGTTCTCTCAGCACACACTTGTCTGCACAGCAGCTGCTACTGTCACCACATCAAGGATTTTTGTCAGGCTGCACCTTCGTACCTGCCTTGAGTTTGGCATTTGAAAGACTCTTTTTTCCAGACCTGTTTAATACCAGAGATATTCTAAGGGCAAAATGCATTGCAGAGAGGATGAAATTATGGAACAGGAGGGCAGGTTGTAGTGCTGTTCAGTAAATGACCACTGAAGTACACTTGACACAAGCATTACTGTTGGTGCTTCTCCTCAAGTTCAGTAAGGGTGGGGAAAAAAAGAATATTTTGAGTATTTTGGGGAGTGGTCATTAATGTGTTATTTTCCAGCTCTCTTGAGTAGACCAGAAATTTTATCTTCAGGTCATCCCAGACCCTCAGCTGTTTTCAAGCTAGCCTGCCTACTCAAGAGTCTTTTAGGAACCTTAGGAAGATTCTTTGAGTTAAAATAGGACTTTTCCTTCATGTTGATGGCTGTTAGGTCTAAACTATGTTTTGACCCACATCAAGTATGGCCTGGTAAGCCAGGATACAGGTAACTGCCTCCCTGGGCATTTTCATATTTCTACCACAGAGGCCAGATGAACTGCGTTACCCTGGTTTCCTCCCTGTTTCACACCCTAGATGGGAGGATAAATCCAGCTGGGATTTGCCACCCCAGGTGGTGGGGAAATTGCTGGAGGGAGGTTCCTGGGCTGACTCGAAGTTTCAAAGCACGGTTCCGAAGGGTAGTACCGGCACCTCCTCAGAGCTACCACCCCGGGGAGCCAGCCAGGACCGCCCGCCCCGGTGCTGCTGCTGCTTCTCGGAGGCCGCCGGTGTCACGGAGGGAGGGCAGAGCAGCCGGGCCGCCCGACACCCGCCGGGCCATCGACACAAGCGGCCGGGGCTCCGGGCAGTGTAGCGGCCGCGAGCCGCCCGCTCCGGCAGGCGCGGGTGGACCGGCAGCCCCGGGGCCTTGAGGCGGGGAGGTGCCGGGGCAGAAGCACGCCCGGCCGCCCCGTCGCAGCCATCCCGTGAAAGTACTCAAGGACTGGGGGGAGAGGGATTTGGGGAAGGGGAGAGTTCTCCGGGAAAGGCGCGCTGAGGCGTGTGAGGGAAGGGCAGCCGGCGGGGCCCTGGGGCGAGGAAGGGCCGCTCCGTCGCGCTGAGTGTTGCGCTTAACGGCGCCGCCAGGCCGTGCTTCCTCCGCCCGTTGCAGGCCCGTTGCCACGTCAGCTGGGCGCGAGGCGGAGCTGAGGAGCGCGACGCGTGCCGGGAACGTGCCGGGGGCCGAGGCGGCTGCGAGGACCGATGGATCCCGAGGGCGCGGTGAGGAGCCCGGCGGGGCGGCGGGGCCGCAGGGCCGGGCAGCCGCCCCGGAGGGCGGGAGGGCGGGCAGACGGGCGGGCATCGGGGCCGTCCCGCTGGGGAGCCCCGGCTCGCGCCCGCCCGCGCGGAGCCGCCATTTTGTCCGTGGCGGCCTCAGGCTGTGGAGAAGCCGCGGGCGGCCCCGGGTGTGCGGGACACGGTGCCGGGTCAACGGGGTCTGCCTCGGACCTTCCAGCACACGGAAAGTAGAGGTGTTTTGGGAGATAAGTGCGCTTAATCACCAGGCCTTCGTGGAGTTAGGTTGTCTAACTGGGGGTGTGTTCAGTGCAAAAATGAATATAGTGATTCTGCTAACGAACAGTTGCCAGACACACTAAGTAATCGATAAAAATATTGGTGAATGTATATATCTGTATTATTTGGGGAAATTGGTAAAAAGGAAGTTTACGAAACAGTAGAAAAATATTTAGGCAAGTGATGTGCTGATGCCACATATTTGGGTTTTGTAATACTCTTATTGCCATGCTGATGATAAAGAGGTGGTTATCACAATACAAATTTTAACATGCGACACTTTAAACTCACTGCGGTTTACGGTATTCACTATTGTGAGTTCCTAAGTGCTGTGATTCATTCCTCGTTTCTTCCATTGGGGTATTTGCATTTGCAGCTTATTTTAATATATCAGCTCTTAAAACGTGTACAGAGATAAAGCAATTTGGGCTGTTTAAAGTAAGGAATACATTTTTGCTGTTCGGTCAACTGTTAATTGTTAAAGTTGAATCCAGAAGTTTTTGTGCTGAAGACAATTGCCAGATGATTGTACAGTTGGAGCCTTGTCTTTGGTGTGAGAGATGGAGAATGTAACCTGTCTTGTCCCTCAGGAGTTTTTTTGCTACAAAAACAAATCCTCTTGGGGACTGTAGTGACTGTGTTGGTTCCTTGCCTACTGGAGGTGGGGTTTGTTCAGGTTAGTACTCTAGAGCAGTATTTCTAGTGGGAGAGATATGTACTAGATTCTCTTGAACAGATCAGGTTAACAACTCTGCTCCAACTGTGTGTGTTTCAGTACATTCAGAAATTACTTGTGTCTTCTCTAAAACTGAAATTGTGTGAACTAAGCTGGATTTATTGTCTTTAAGATATCCACAATAATAGCATTAACCCTTTACTTAGAATTAGTAGGAGTAACTCTTAGGTAGCTAAAGAAGTATTAAATAATCCTGTTGGAGAAGTTAGTGACAACACCATGTTGCTGCTTTTCAGCTATCATCTTCACAGTTAGGATTGACTTTATAAGGCACTACTACTTTGTTTTGAAAAGAGTTTACAATAAAATTGTTTCACAGTTCACAAGTGTAAGTATGCTGCAAGTTAAAACATCAGGCAGGATTCACCAAATAATGATCTCCATGATATCCCATTGAGTTTTGTTCCTTCACTGGAGCGAGAGCAATCTGATTGTTCTTTTGCAGGAGGAATTTCTGTTCAGACCGCTGTGTTTGTAGGCCAGGAGGGTGTTGAATTAAAATACCAGTCTTCAAGACCTGTTCTCATCTGGTGTGTGGAGCTTGTTGATTACCTGTGGAGGAATTATGGGTGCTCAGCACTTGGAAAATAAACCAGATGCTGTTGCAGAGAATAGAGTTGTGTAGATGTATGTGAGAGCACAGATTGAGTTAAAATGTCCATTCTATATAGGTTGTAAATAAGGGCTTCTAGTAGAGAGAAGATACTTTGTGTAATAGAATTGATAACCTGAAATTTGTGCAGCAGGATGCTTTGCAAATTGAACAAAGATTGGTGTCCAGTTTGGAAGAGTGTTAAACACTGGACTTCAGACCATAGTGTAGTCACCAATTTACCGAATTGATTAAGATTGAGCTACATTCTGAATAAAAATACATGGTTAATGTTCAGCACCTTCTGTGCCTTCTGAAAAATTCTGTATGTATTGTCTGTTGAGAGTTGCTTCATTTACTGGTAAATATTGTGTTTAAGATTTTGAAAATGTTTTCTTTCAATCAGCAGGCCACTGATCAGATGCAAACAGAATCTTTACCTTCATGTCCCAACACTGTGTCACCGGTGAGGTTAAATAATCTGATCGGTTCTCCAAGGTTTGGAACAGTTACTCCAAATCGTGTCTTTGTTGGAGGAATTGATTTTAAGGTACTCTTCCCTCTTTTTGCTACTAAATTATAACAGTGTAAAAATCAACAGGGGAAAAAAGAGAGACACAGTCATGTGTATTTGTTTAGTTGGTAAGTCTTCTTCACTTTAATAGCCAAACCTACAGTAGAGAGTAAAGCCTTTAAGCCATCATTTGGGTAACTGTCCTACAAAGTTGACTGTACCCCTAGCTGCTAGAACCTTTTGACACCCCACTTCTTCAGAGTTTTCTTTTTTCATAGAAGATAGCTTTTGTCATCAGCAGAGCTGGTGGCAGAAATGCATGTAGAACGTTTTGTTTATGTATACCACTTAGTGTAATTTAATAAACTGTCACAATGTTTCATATAGCCTGTGGGCAAACGTCTGTGGCTTTTGTTCCTCTAACACTTCTGGTTCACGCAAAGAATTACAGTGTGTATATTCCTCACCGTAGTAATTTTCTTAAAGGCAAGAGTTTGTTTTTAAAAGAAGTATGTAAACTTCTGTGGGTAATTTGCAGTATTGATCTGAATTCTTAGAAAGCTCGTGCCTTTGTGTATTCCCTAAAATCTTTAAATCGCAGTGGACGTTGGGCCACTCTTACCTTGTTCAGTTGCTTTTAACGTTTGTGATAAGCTTAAGGTTAAGGATTTTTCTGTCTTCCCACTTTAGGTAGTTAATTAAGCCATTGACTTTTGCAAAACGTGCTTGGTCTGCTTAGCTGTTGCTTTGTTCCCACCAAAAGTATTGTCCCTGCGTTTATCGTCCTAGACGATTACTGACTCATTTGAAGAGGAACAAGAATTGACAATTCACTCAGACTGTTTTGCATGACAAATGCAAGAATTTCCAGAATCTATTGATTTATTTGGCAGGGATAATTCAAATAGAGGTATTCATATTTTAAGATGTGCAGGACCTTCAGTACATTTAGACCTCATTAAAGTGGCACAGTAGCTTTTTGCACCAATAGTAAGCAAGTTTCTGGAGCTGTAAAAAGACCTTTCTTACTCTCTTCTGTAATTTCAAAGGTTAAAATACTTTTCTGTCTAACATCAACATTTTTATTAATTATCATACTGGTCATTTTGAAGGGTCTCTTCACTTGGTTCAGTTGCTGATACTTTAAAATTTATTATGAAATTGTGTTTTCAACAGCAGTTTAAACATTTGTAATCATAAAGAGGATAGAGTTTTTTTGCCGAGGGGTGAGGAAATAGAAAGGATGAAACCTCTGTAGCCATTTTAGTTGCTCTTCCATTTGGTATGATTCTTTATATCCAAATACAGCCTTAAATTTCTGATCTTATCCTCATAGGGTTTATATGTCAGTCTTGAATTGTTTTTCTATTGGCAGTCTCGTGGCAAAAAGTATTGGGTTTTTTGGGGTATTTTTTAAGCCAAAGGTCTTATTCAAGTCACTTGGGGTGGTGGAAAAGCTATTGACTTTATTTTTGTGGAAAAGGGAGACAGTTAATCCACAAAAAACTTACTTGCTTTCTAGCAAGCTCTTTTATGATTTTGCCATTTTGTCTATCACCATGGCAGTGATTCCTGTTTTCAAGAGGAAACACCTGGTCTCTCACATTTAGAGAAACAATTCAGCAAGGGAAGTTAGAGTTGGGAACATTTTCATCTTGGTCTGAAGAGCTCTTTCTTTAGGGGTTCAGGCCATGTGTCACTGACAAAGGATGCCTTTGTCTTATCATAAGCAGGAAAAGGCAAGTCCTACATGTGTTTCTCATAAGTTTCTAAATATTATGGTTGCACAGATTCTTGCAGATTTCACTGTGCATCTTAGAACAGCATTTCCTTCTTACTCTGCATCAATGCACTGCTCTGCACATAAACCGTTGTCTTTCCCAATTCATAGTTCCATGTAGCAAGCTCTTATGTCCTTGGGTAGTACTTTGGGCACCGACCAATTTCAGGCTTGGATGAGGCACTTAAACCTTTGATGTGCTGGAGAGGATTCCCTAAATTGTGTGCAAACAATCAAAGTCATTAACTAAGAACTAAAACAGTACTCTGTATACTTGAAGTTAAGGAGAGTATAGATGAATGGTGTGTGTATGTAACTATGCTTCTCCCAGTGTGAGGTGTAGCATTACCTAAGGGCTATGTAGAACAAAAAACTCAAACATGATGCTTACTGCATCATATGTGATATATGCTTACATTGTAAAGCAATATTCATAGAAGGCAGAGGAGTGTTCACAAAGCTTAGGTGAGTCTTTACATTAGAAATTTTCTTATTCTCTATATACTTGGAAGGGGGGCAGTTCCTTCCAAGTTGCCTTACACTCTCCATTGAAATAACATTTTCTTAGTTACAGTGGGGAGTTTGTATAGTGTGCCTGTACGTGTTTGCAGACATACTTGGAAGGGGAGCAGTTCCTTCCAAGTTGCCTTAGACCACTCTCCATTGAAATAACATTTTCTTAGTTACAGTGGGGAGTTTGTATAGTGTGCCTGTACGTGTTTGCAGACTCTCATGTCAAAACCACTTCAGAAAGAGGGATCATGGTATATTCAACGGATTTGACCACTAAATCCCTCTGGTTTAGGGGGGTTTGTGTGACCTGTGTATATCTATATGCTCTGTCGTGTTACAGTTGAAAGCATGGCAGTGATTTTTTGTACTGTAAACTGCTCTAGCATGTAATTAACAGAAATTAAAATTCAGATCTAGCATCCCTGCTTCATTGATCTTAACTGTAAAAGGACAGTTGTTACATAAATCTACTCATGAGAAGTTTTAATGAGAAGTTTCTAGAATTACTAATAATTAATGCGGTAGTTAAGTGGGCCCTGTGGCTCATTCTTCTGTCTTCATATGCAGGGTTATAATTAGTTTGTAGCAAACTTCATCCAAAGTACATACATTAATAGTCTTAGGGTAAACGTTGAACTAATTAATTGAATGACTATGCAAACCAACTTTTCCTTTTTTTTTCCCCTCTTGATGTACCGTACTAGACTAATGAAAATGACCTGAAGAAATTTTTTGCTCAGTATGGCAGTGTGACAGAAGTGAAGATAATAAATGACAGAGCTGGAGTATCAAAGGGGTTGGTATAGTAGAATAAGTGTATTGTGGAAATTGAAAATAACAGAAAGCTGACTATAATAAATTTGATTGGTTTTTTTTTAATAGCTCATAATATTTTATCACTGATGTTTCAGTTATTCTGTGTGTGCAAAAATATGTTCTTGCCCTTTAATATCTCTATATATGTCTCCAATTTGCATAACTAAAACTGTATTAGTCATGTTGTAAGATGAAGCTGTGTTGTAAGATGAAGCTAGGACAGAATCAATAGTTGACATTTTTTCAGGTTTTCTTAGTGACTATTACTTAAGTAGATTATCCTAGCAAGGTTATTTAGTTATTAAATATATTTCTGTTACTGAAAGCCCATATGGAAAGGAGCCTAAAGTGGAGGAAGAGCTGAGATACACCTGATTGTGCTGGAGTGCATGGCAGTAACAGATTTTTGTGTGAAGATTTTTGGAACAGCAGCATAGAGGACAAATCTGATGAGTTACAACATGAGCTAAATCATGATTACTTACAATGGAGACTGAGATTGGAAGTCACCAGTAGGAGGAATGACAAAGAACAAATACAGAGAAAGATTAAGATTGCATAGTAAAGTCATTGCTGTAACCCAAAGGATGGTGTTGCCAGTAAGGTGGGGAAGTGCACTGCCAGCAAAGGGAGGAAAGAAGGCTGAAGCAAAAAGGAATGTGCATGAGAGTTCACCTCTAAAGTCCTCTCCTGAGGAGTAAGGACAGCTTTAGTGCTGTCAGAGCTTAACATGTATCAGCAAGTTCCGTGCTGAGCTGCAGCTCTTGGCACAGAGAGTGCACTTGCATGACTTCAGAGACTTGCTCCCAGATCCGTCACCCCGCCTCTTGCCCTTTTAGTAAATTCCACGAAGTATCTGAGAATTGCAGTGTGTGTGTCCATATAACCCATAATAATTATGCAGTTGTGATTACCAACATACAGTATAATATTAACTTTAAAAAAATCCCAAGTGTCTCATCTTGGTCACCTCAACAAGGAAAGGTCTAGATCAAAATCTTTTTTTAATAGAAATGAAGAAATTCAAGACATCGGCTGAGTAACAAGAACGGCTGGTCATTCATGGCAGTATATTGCCACATACTTGAATGTAATTAAAAAGGTGCTAAGAATGCAGTTAATTCAATCTTTACTTCTAGGTTGTTTTTTTTTTACCCATTAATTTACCTTATAATGTCACTTGTACTGTATATCAAGTAACTATGTGCTGTGTTTGTAAATACAGACTTTAGTGGCTTAACTGTTGTTATTTTTGTTTAGGTATGGCTTTGTTACATTTGAAACCCAAGAAGAGGCACAGAAGATTTTACAAGATGTAAGTGACAGTCCCCATTATGTTTGTCTCTTAAATGAATTGATTAATTTCCTACTAGGCCTGTGTACTCTGGTCCTCTATTTGCAAAGTTGCATTTGAAGATAAGTTTGGTCTGGCAGTTGAAATGGTTTAAAGAGAGCTAAGATAAGATTTTTTTAATATGAAATTCTGATCATCCTCTGATTTTTTTTTTCTTTTGTCCTACACTTCTATTTTGAATAATGCTTCCAGAACTTGCTTTGATGTTGCAGTCTGCTAACTGTGTGTTAGTATTAAAAACAGACTTTGAGGAGTTTCACCAGGTTCTAGACATATCCTAGCATCTGGTTTCAACATAACTACTGTCCTGCTCAGTGTGTCTAACCTACTAAGTTATTTTTTACTTTTCAGATACCTAGATCTGTGTAGAAAATAATAATGTCTGATTTCTTTAATTCTAGGCTAAAAAGCTCAACTATAAGGATAAGAAATTGAATATTGGACCAGCAATAAGAAAACAAGTGCGGAGTCCTAATGCTCGTATGTGTTTTTACTTGCATTTGTGTATTGTCAATATGAATATAAGTTTTTAACCAAGATGTGCCTGGTCTTACACTGCATTAATGCTGTGTCTGGCATGTGCTCAGAATGGTTTGCAGTGGAAGTAAATGCATGCAAGTGGCAATGTTGAAATAAATAGATTTATGGTGTCTTGGTTCTTTTATCTCTCAATATGTTGTTTCTTTTACTTTATTGGAGAGAGTTACCTATGTAGGAACAAACTGAATGGAAATTCAAGTTGCCTGGCAGAATCTTAAATCTAAACATTCAGTGTGTCTTCACAGGTTCTAAGGATAAAGCAGGCTCTGCTGGTTAGTGGCATTGTTATTCATTGATTATTTTTGTTACTAAAAACCCATTAGGATTGTTGCATCTTGCTTTCTTTGGTAGAAACCATAAGGAGCGGGTGGTTGTAGTCCTCACTCTCTTCTTGAGCTATTGAATGGATACTGAAAATGTAGGCTATAAATCACCAACTTTTCAGATGACATCTGTCAATTGTCTTCAGTAAGGGCTGTGTGTCAGAAATGTAAAATAGAATTCTTTTTTAAGTAGCATTGCAGCAGGCAATGAAGTGTGCTTTGGGACTTTGCTGCAGTATTTGTTCTATGGTGCCTTTTGGAACAGTTAGGAAAAACCCATGCTTTTGCTAGTCTTCATTCTGAGGCCAGAACAAAGAAGAATTTAATTCTGAAGCTTTCTTTAATTTGTCATGCTCTATTAGAAGTGGTCATTGCGTACACTACTGCTGTTGGTGCAGACACACTTGCTGAAGACAGGAAGTTTTGCCTCCTCCCCTGCTTGTGCCCAAGTATGCCCTTTTCCCTTGTGTGAGTGTATGGGTTATTGTTTGCCTGGGAAAGTGGAATACTTGTTCAAACTGTACAGTTTATTTGCTCTAGAAATTATTCAGTATGCTCATTGCTCAGTCATCATCATGAGATTGTATGCCATTGTCTTGGTATGCTTTGTTTTACTTTCCATCTTTGACTTGTATTTTCTCAGTTGTGTTGCCTGACTTGTGGGAGTTCCTTCCTGTGACTCTTGTAACGATTGTGTAAATTGATAGAAAAGGGGCATATCTCTGTGTTTTAACTGAGACACGAGGCAACAGAGGGGTAAACAAAAAATCCTTAAAAAAAGCTTTTCAAATAAAGCTGCTGCATTCTTTTGAGATCTTTATTTGTAGACCTGTTCACCTACCTGTTGTCTCTCATGCCTAGGATAAATCTGTGATATAAGATCATATTGCCATCCAGACACATCCTAGGGTATGTTTTCAGTATGTCTGCTCTCACGTCATCGTGTATCTCAGTGACCAGGATGCTTTGTCCTACTGCAGCTCATCTTGGGTTCATGGAGCCAGAACACCTGGACTTAAAATGTCACTGTAGAGCTGTGGGTTCCATTATATTCCACAGAATTAGAGAGCTGGACAATAAACTGCTGTCCTCTGTAGCCCACATATAGAGTGTTTGTCTTTCATACTGTAAAGCAAAATTATTTTTAGCTCTCCTGTCATAGGATCATTTGGGGTGAGAGCTTTGAGCATAATTGGGAGAGCCACTTGGTTTGCTTTTTCCCCAGCATCGAAATGTATTTTTGCATTAGTGAATTTTCTGTGTTTGATGAGGAAGATTTCCTTTTTCTTTGCCAGAGACTTATTCAACATTGGCAGAAAGTTTGTGCAATTACTTGGTAGCTAGTGGACAGGATTGTTGGCCACGGGATTGTGTTGATATCCTCATCTGAGATACCAAATTACTTACTGGAGCTAAAAAAGCCTTTAGTTTTCCTAAGGTGTGCTTAACATTATCCTAACAAACATCTTAGTCTGTCTGTGGATAATGTATCAGCTCTGTTGTATCCAGGTGTCTAAAGACTTTTCTAGGAATTAAGTCAAACTCTTACTATCAATAAAAGCTCTTGAATCCCTGTGGGACCTTTCTTGGTCATCCACTGAGCATTCTGGTGATCTCTGCATTGTTCTGTCTGTTCATAAAATGGCACTTCATGGTGGTTTTTACCTTTGCAAGGCAAGATGAAAAACTAAAACTCACTTAGTGATGTTGTTTACATTGTGTTCTCCCTGATTTTTTTCTGTACTGTGTTACTATTTTGTGATTTCAGCTTCAGCTACAGCATTAACTTTCCCCCTTTTTTTTTTCTCTCCAGAAATCTCCCCATGTTATGTGTTGTGTTTAATTATTTGTGTGGATGTCAACTTCTGCAGCCTTTCCCATCTAGCTCTGGAGACATCCTGTGGCCATCTGTTTTCATGGTCATGTTTGAGGGGGAATTGAGATGGCATTAGACAAGCTGCTCCTTGTTCTTTCCTTTGAATGTTTTCTTTCTGTGAAGATCAAAAGTGATCTTCTCTTTTTTCGTGGTGTACACATCTGAAAAGTTACTTACAAATAAGTTTTTTAATGTTTATTCCAGGTTCTGCTGTGACACCACAAGCTGGTACAATGTATGCAACTGCTGCTGTATCACCAGAAGCTGGTACAATGTACTTGACCACTTCGAGTGGATTTCCATATGTTTACCATAATGGAGTGGCTTATTTTCATACATCTGAAGTCTCTCCTGTTCAGCAGCCATGGCCAGTAAGGAATTTATTTTGGTATTTATGCTTTTCTATTGACCAAGATAGCTGCAGTGTTTTCAAGTCCCTTCTTCATTTGCTTCAGCTATTGCCTCATGCTAGATGTTTAATTGTCTTCTTTATATTAGACTTTATTTTGTGTTGTTTGGTTTTTTGTTTTTGTTTTTTTTTTTAAATAACATTTCAGTTTATTTTGCTTCTACAGAGCACTTTTCTTTTGGTGTGACCTATTGAACAGGACAGTTCATAATCAGTCTGGGCCTTGCCCCAGGAATGAGTTTTACTATCTCTAGATAGTGATGGCCTAGTGCTTTCTAGAAAGGTGTAAGTGAGTACGCCAGAGATTTTTGTTTGATCTAACATAAGCTGTTAGAGACACTGGATTCGAAGCAGTTTAAGTTGTAGGTTAAAATTTTGTGCATCATTTTTGAAAGGGTGGGGGGTGGCTCAGTGTCATAGTACTCCAGAGCTGTGTGTAATACGAGTGACAGTTGGTGAAATTGCTGCATTAAGATTTGTCACTTCTTTTCTTTTGAAGTCTCGCTCTGTTCCCAGTTCACCTGTGATGGTTGCTCCACCTGTTTATCAGTCTCCTACGTACCATTATCAGGTATCTGTTTGAAAAAGATTTTCAGACCATCACTAATCCTCCAGCCATGCAGTACTATTTGCAGCACTGTCCAAGGTCTGTTTATTCTTAGGAAGTAGTTTGTAATAGTAGTGTGAAACATATTTTAACTTTAACATATTGAAGGCTTTTCTGTAGAATACAGTTTATTCTGCTTATGTAACTACATGAAAGTTTAATAAATTACATTTTCTTGTGTGTTGCAGGACAACTGGCTTATCATCTAAGCCAAACTCCTTCTCAGAGTAGGGCTGGTTAGAACAGGTTGCTTGAGTACTTGTCCAGTTGGGTTTTAAGTAGTTCCAATGATGAAGATTCCACACAACGTTTCTGGAGAGCCTTTTCCTACACTTGACCTTCTCATCATAAAGACCTTTCCCTTAAAGCTACTTTCTTTAGTGGTCCAGCTTGGGTCCATTGATTCATGTGCTCTGAGCACCTCTGTGGAGAGCCTGACTTAAGTGTTTTTGAAGTTTATGAAATGGTCAGGTTCGAGGCAGAGCAAAACCATGTTCTGGAGTAATTTGGGGCTTAATGAAAATCATATTTCCTCTTTTTAGTTAAGAATTAATTACAGATTTGAGAATAGTAGTATTCTATGTGTGTTTTTCTTCACCACATTAGTGACATCTTCTTGTTCAATTTTAGGCACCAACACAGTGTCTTTCAAGTCAGTGGCAGTGGTCTGTTGCACAGGTAAATACAGTTCATAGTTACAGCATTTTACCATTACTTTTCCCCTAGTTTAAAGGTATGCTGTGCTTATCTAAGAGTGAGATTTCCCACTATTCACAGCTTGGTTGAAATTAGTATTAATTGCTGTATTTTAGTAATGTATTTACAACATTTACTGCTACAATGGAAGGCATAAAATAGCATCTGTTGAAACATTAAATGTAAGTCTGATGCAGGGAAAACATCTTCCCCTCCCCTTCCATTAGCAAAATGCTTGTATCTAATTACCTAACAAATTCTTTAGAAGTGGGTAAAAGCTACCAAATTTCATCTGATTAAAGAAATGGATATTAACAATTAACTGATAACTGTGACATTTCATAGGGGTAGAGTTAGCAGGAGCGTGTGGCACACACTGGATGAAATTAGACCCAGGCCCTTGAAGTAGGAAGAAGATATTCTAAACTTAGTCATTTTGTGGGGAGAGTTTATCTGTTTTGTAAAAGAGCAACTTAATATGGAAATCTTGGCACTCGGGGACTTGAAGAGTTTGAACCTGAAGGGGGGACCAAGACCCTTAAGCTTGAGCTGTTACAATGCAGCCTCATGACTTTAATAGCAGCCAGCCTTGTCTGGCTATGGTCTGTTCCATTCTAACAGATCAATCTACTGCTTTGAAATCAGGTGCTGAATTATGTAGATACTCTAATGATTTCAAAATAAAAAACTTGTTTTGCTAGTGTAATGGTGTTGCAAGAGAAAGTTTAACTGTAGTATGTTTCTGTGATTTTGAGATTAAATGTGAATTTTGCAAGTTTTAGGATTTTGCTATGCTCTCCAAAATGTAAATAAAATGTAAATAAAATCTGAAAATCATGTAAAATTAAAGGACTTTTTTTTTCTTATGCTACCTGGCCTTTCTGTCCACTTCCCTCTTGCTTAGTTTCTTTAAGTAATCAAAGATTAATTTGACACTTTATTTTAAAGGTTCATCTTTTGTTTATATGTAGCAAAGAAGACTAAAATAAGCTCTTCTCTTTATCCTGCTTAAATTATAAAATTTATTAGAATAATGTGTTTTGTTTCAGTCTCCTGCCTCTTCACCTCCGCTTCTGTATCTGCAACCATCTGAAGTCTTTTATCAGCCAATAGGAATTAACCAGGAAGGTGGATGTATATCTCCACCTCTCCTAATGGAAGCTGCAGTTCCTGAGGTATTTTTAAAAATGTAAAAAAGTGTACTGCAAATTGAAGTGCTTTTTTGTGATTGAAAAATACAGCCTTTTATTCTGAGCACTGACTGTTAGAGCAGTGAGGTCGACTGTTCCAGTGCTTATGTTGATGTTAAATAATTTCAGGTGTCCTCAAGTTAGAACTTCTCTTCCTGTCTAGGAGAATGCCTTGATTCTGAAATATTTTAGAGAGTCACAAAGATATTACAGACAGCAATATGAGGACTTGACAATTGGTTTTGTTTGCAAGTAATGTTTAAATAAAATGGGAGTTGGTTATTTGGAATCTTGGTTTGGATATCGCTGAACCACAATAGTTTTCTAAAGTAATTATTCTGTGAGTAGAAGCTTGTTTCTAAATATTCTGATCATCTGAACTAATTAAGAGTGCTTTATTGTACTTTAAAAATTTCTTAAACATTAGAAATGTTACTGATATAGAATCAAAAAACTAAGCAAAAGATACTTAATCATTCAATCAATCTCTTCGTGATTGTATGTTAAAAATTATAGCAGATGGCTACAGGAAAAACTGAATTACACACTTTTTCACTTTGGTATGAATTGGTACTTCTCTAACATTCATTCCTCATGAGCAGAGAGGCCAAAAGAGATGTTAAATTAGGACATCTAATTATTAATACTGGTAAGCAAGTATGATTCCAAAAGTAAATGGGTATTTTATTACTACAAGAAAAATTCCAAAACTGGTATTTCAGACATCTGAAGTGGAAAATTCTGACTTGGTGAAGTAATTTAATTTCCCTACAAAGATACTGAATAATAAAAGGCTTATGGGGGCTTTTTCTTTCTTTTTGAAGGTACATGAATTGTTGGTATTTATGTTATAATCATAATTTTATTAACAGTACTATTTTACCTTACTATTTCATGATTTTGATATAAAGGTATACAGAGATCTGAAAACCATGAGCACTAAGAAAATATATGAAATTATTTAAGGAATATTTGGATATAATGTGCTCTTGGTTTACAGGTAGGCAGTTCTTTCACGTTAAAGGAAACAGTGTGTCAGATTTCAGAAGAATGGTGTAAAATTCCAAGAATAGTCTGTATTATTTGTATGTAAATATTTTATAAATATGATACTGCTGGGAATTGCATTTTCCATGTGCTAATCTGCACATTTAAACACTGTTCCCATTAGAGCTGAGTGAAATTTTTAATGGAGAAGTTGCTACTTCTGTCAAGGAAAGTGATTTTTGACACTGATTTAAGATAAATTAAGTTTACTAAACTTTGCTAATCTGTGGGGAAAACATAGATTTAAATATTAAAGTTGTGTTTTTAAAAAGTCAGTAGTTTAGCCCACATTTTGAAGTTTTAAGGATTCTAAATTCCTATGAAAGGCTTAAAAAACTTAACATTGTGAAACAAGCTTTTTTGCTAATTTTTTTTTTTTTTTTAATGCCAGCTGTATTCTGATCATGGAGTTCAAACATTACATCACCAGCCCTATGTCCAGAGTCACATAGCCATGCCTGCTGGTGTGAGTATCAAACCAAGATAGTTACAGAAAGCATGCCATGCTTTCTGTTCTTCTTTCTTGAAGCAGTGACAGTAAGACAAGAGGGGAATGGTTGTTTTATTAATTAATTGGTACAGAAGGAAATAGGAAATATTGGAGAGAAAACGAGATTTTTCTTCAGTTGAAGTTTTGTTACAGAGGGACAAACCTGTTACTTGTTTTGGAACTATTTGGGGACGCTAAGAAGTGAAAACATGACTAGTTATTTTAAGACTGAGCTACAAAGTAAACTGCAAATAAGAAACATTTTAAGAGAAAATGGTGACCCTTTTTCAGTTCTTTAAGATGATGGTTGCAAATCCTTGTTTCTTTCTCTGGGTTTTGGCCTTACATTCGTTACTTCAGCTTAGAAAAGCGCCTCATGTTGTGAAGAGTTGAGATTATGAAACGCAGAAAATGAAAAACTGTCCCAGTCAGTCACCTCTGGGTGTTTTCTTGTGCAGTTCTGATTTAGAAAGACCATTTGAATATTATTCCATGCCACCTGGTGCAAGTTGTTGGATTTTTTTGGTTTCTAGTTTAAGGTGCTCTTGCCTAAATTAATAAGGCTGTTGATGCCATTTATGAAATAATGTCAAAACTGATTTGCCTGATGACAGAGATCTAAAGTTGTCAATAATTATACTCGATGTTACAGCACTTGCTCTTCTGTGAAAGGTGCTTACTCAGCTTCAAGTGGAAGACTAAACATGAGTGAATAAAAGTCATGTTATAAGCTCTCTTTTCCACATATTTTAAACTTACTTTGCTTTTAGCATTTTTCCAGACTATTGTGTAACAATGTGTACTAGATATTTCCAGCAGAGGGGGCTGTCACCCACGTGTTGTTTTGGAATAAAGAGCCCTCTATTTCTTGCTCATTCCTTCCTGTTTTCTCAGAAGTCTTGTTACCTAGAATTAAAACTCTGCTCTGTTCAGGCCTCAAGTAGATTCACAGATAGTTAAACCCTTCCAAAGACTTACTGAATTCTAATAATTTTAGTCATTACAGGTTGGTGCTGAATTTTTTAAATCTTTGTGGTTTAGGTTTTATTTATTTAGTTAGCTTCATATACTAGAACTACTACTAAGTAATAGTTCTAAAATAGAACTTTCCCTTTTAAATTTTCATGCTACCTTTTCACATACCCACTTGGAGTTTGAATATGTTTCCCAGGTAATGAACATGATCAGCTTGTATTGTGTGTCAGAGCTCTCACCAATGACTGAAAAAGGCAAATGTTGTCAGCACACTGCTATGTGTTAGGCAAGTGGCTGTGGTATTACCACCTGCTCCCCAGCTGCAGAAGGCGACTGCCTCGTGGCTGTAGTATACTTAAAATACCCCAACAAATATGTGCTGCTTGAAAACTGCCAGCTAGTGGCAGTAAGTAATGCCTGAAGTAATGACTGTGCCTCAGAGGTAATTTGCTAATTGCCTCTATTGCACTGTGTATTCCCAGTGCAATTGCTGGGCTTTGTCCTAGGAGCTGTAAGACAGGTGGTGAGAGTGGGATGCTACAGCTGGTATCCAGATATTTTTGTCAGTTGTAGACTTCTTACAGCTTTGAAATGCAGCTCACAGTACACCATTCTCTCTGTTCTACCATCAGTACAAATAGCAGTAACTATTGAGTTACATCAACAAAATGCTGGGTTTTAATTTTTGATAATGCTAAATGAAAATTAGAAAACAACATATTCCATCTTCCAACTATAAATTATTTTGAGATCCAAGTTTGGTATTTAAGATCAAGTTTGAATCAAAAATGCTTATCTCCTCCCTGTGTTCCTGTGTTTGCTAATGATGTTGAATATATTGACTTTAAGCTTAATTCTTTTGGCAATTAATAGCATGTTCTGTTGATGAGCATGTGGAAGTGACTTCAGATAGTCCCATCTATACAAATGGATAAGGCTAACATTCATTCTCAAAGGCTGCCGGGTGACACGGGTTTTTTTAGGAAGTGAGAAGATTTCTTATATCTGCTGTGTTTTTCAGATCCTGTATTTTTTCAGATTCTGTATCATCTTCTAATATGGAGATGATACAGGATCTTCTAATATTAGATTCTTCCAAAGAGTATATGTTAACTAGTGTCTGGTAGTAAAAGTTACCTGGGCTATAGTAACAGTGGAACCTTGGGTGAGGATAGACATTTGTGATCTTTGATTTCAGGCCCAGGACAAATATCTGTGAATTAAGTTTGGTTTTGTTAAGTGTTTATTTGAGGTTCTGACACGCTGGCCTGGTAAATGTTAGTTGTATATTTTGTGTGTATATGAGGTAGCCCCTTGAGGCCTGAGGAGCTGAGAACACAATTGCAGTCCACAGGGTGAGCAAAGTGTAAAAGGTTCTGGCACATGGACTGAGTGGGTGCGTAGGGTTTGTTTTATTTCATGCTTTCAGCTTTTTTTTTTTTTTTTTATTATCTGCCCTTTTGAGCTTCAGTGTCCTCTTTAGGGGTAGGCATGGTTCTGGTCTGTTGCAGTTACAGCTTTTCCCATATTTTGTGTCAAGCAGTGTTTTTGGGTGGCATCAACAGTACCAGACAATAAAGTGTGTTTTGTGCTATAGTTCATGGATGCTTGCATTCAGATCATAATGGTGCATGATGGCCTTTGCATGGTGAGTGTTCTGTAACTTTAACTGAACATAACACACTGTTTTTCTCTGCAGTTAAGAGTAATAGGGGAAGATTTGTGTTCAGTGTGTATAATGCATATAAATGTACGTGGGTTATAAATGTTTGTATAGATACGCATACAAGTAGGTTTACGTAAATTGTGTCATAAGAGTTCTGGTGTAATCATTTGGGGAAAAGTTTAGTTATTTTATGCTTGTACTGCATGTTATTGTCTGATATTCCATCTGAAACAACAAAAAATATTGCTGCATGTTTTCTGTACAGGTAAGTGAAATTGAAAGAGGCTAAGCCTTTTGTTTATAGATATGTGTGAATCTAAACTTCTAGTTATATGATTGCCAAGAGACTTGTCACTAGCTGCAGCTAGGTCTGTTTCCTCTAAAATGGCTATTTTAAACTCCACTTGCTAATTTGGTATTAACATGGAAAGGTACAGGGAATGCATGCTTTTTCTCATGTTACTTCATTCTGTGTCCTCTCTACAAACTTCTCTTTTTCTTTTCTGTTTGTTTGCTCTTACTTCATTTCAGTGGTTTTTTCCTTTTGCTTTCTCTTTACTTGATGACCCTATAGAGAATTTACTATTTAAGCATTTGGGCCACTCTAATCTATCTTTACTGATTAATTTTTTTTCTTTTTGTGACCAGTCCTTCCTGTGTGGCTGAGATCCATCATCACCATAACAGCTAGCAGCTGCCAGTTGTGGCATTTGGGGTCAGTTGTTTCATTGCAATGCTTACTATTTATGAGTTAGTGAATAATAAAACGTGCTCAGTTCTAGCACAGTCTGCAGCATCATTTGCCTGCTTTCTGCAGTTTGATGCTTGCTGATAATTCTCTTCATAAACCAAACTCTATATATTCATTCCTGGGATGGTAATGTATATGTAAACTCCATCATTTTAATAAAACTGCCTAAGTTTTATATGGGTTGGATTGTTTTCCTTCAGTAAAAATGCAGTTTTCTGTACTTCCAATGTATGATTCTTTTGTTTCTGAAAACTGTTTTAATTCCCTTTTGACAACTTCTTCCCTTTTTCTCCCTATTTTGTGCAATTTCCAGTAGCTTGTGTTTATAGGGAAGGTGCACTCTGGCAGGTGCTCAAGCATGCTTTTACTGTGAAAATGCTGCCTCTTTGTTGTTTACACTTTTTTAAAAAATTAGGATTTTGTTGAAAGAACGCCTAAGGAAGAATATGTGTTTTGCACATCTTAGAGTCAATTTCTGACTTGATAGCCTTTAAACACCTGACTGATTTGTAGCAGGGCCTTGCTGTATGTTAAGATGTGCCTGTATGACTTACCCCAGCTGTGGCTTTTAAACAAATATTAGAAGCCTACTAGTGTAAAACTGAGCATAGTTTTCTCAGTAGACAAAGAGAATGTGTTTGTGTCCTACCTATACTAATAAGAGTTAAACTAAAGAAAAAGAGAAACACATTGGGGTTGAAATCCTGTAAAGTGCTTATGAAAACTGCAAAGCATGGAACCTGGGAAGTTTTGAAAAGCAGTGCACAACATGATGGGGAGTTAGTAGCTGATGAAAAGAGACTGATATATTGAGATTATAGTGGTTTGGATATCCTGGTAGAGGTGTATGAACTGCAGCTGGTTGTATTAGGAAGCCATCAGAGCCAGAAGGGAGAGTAAAAAGTTAAATTTAAAAAAACAAAGAAGAAGTTAGTGATGAAAGGGCCTGGCCTAAGAAATAAGGTTAGAAAAAAAGGACAGTCTGAGTCTGTCATATAACATAGTTAAGTAAAGAGTAAAGGCATGGACAGTGTACCTTTGGGATATAGAGCAGCTGAGATAGGGGGACTGTAGGAGTTTGATATTTGGAAGAAGAAAGAGAATAGTACAAGTATTCTAAAATCTGTTTGTACCATTACCTAAAACGGTAGCTGTGTTTTCTGCATCTTGTCATCCTTTTGTCAGCAGTTGGTGGTATCCACTGAAAAATTATGTAAGCACAGTCCATTGCTTCTCAGTTTACAAATAAAACAGCTTTCAGGTTGTTAGCTCAGGTTTTATGTGACTAAAAACTTAATGTCAACATTATTGTAAATACCCATAGTAAAGCATTGCTCTAATCTACATTACAGAGAATGCTGAAGGAAAAAAAAATTGAATTGGTTGCATAGGTTTTCACAGAATACTTTGTAAAAATAAATTTTCCCTATCCAATTATAAAGAGGATACAATTGCTTTAATACCTTGACATCCTTTAGTAAGACTTTATGATAAATGAACAATACTGGGTTATTTTTTTTCAGTAAAAGAATTCTGAACGCATTCTAAGATTGCATGCTTGTAAATAAAGGAGGGTATTTCCTGCCACTGTGGGCTTCATGACCT